GGCCGCCCGAAACCCTCCCTTGCTGGACCACTCGGCGCCGTTCGTGGCTCGCGCCCTGCGCATCAGCAGCAGCCTGGTCGTCCTGCACCTGGAAAACGCCAGCCTCTCCGGGCGCCCACTCATGTTGCTGGGTGAGTAACCCGGAGAGGGGGGCAGTGGAGGTGCCACCTATGCTCATTGCCTTAATTAGCAGGCCTCATTTGCCCAACTGGAGAAGCCAGTCGAGCTTGGACGGCTGCATTGCCCAGCTGTGTCCTAGAATATGGAAGGAAGCCAGATACCAATCCTAGAATCTTTTCCAGCCAGAGGGTTTTTTTTCCCCCTTTTTTTTCTTCCCTTTTTTTTTTTTTTCCCTCACATGCCGGGGAGAGCAGAGTTCATGCCAAACTCTCCATCGACCCCCGTGGGGTTTCGCAAAAGGCTCTTGAAACTTATTTGCAGCCCTCTCGCTGCCGGGATCTCGGTGCTGGAGAGCAGCAGTGCAGATCTCTGTGCAAGGCAGGGCCGGGCTCGGAGGTGGGCGGTTTGCTGTGGCTTCCTGAGATTTTGGCAGCAGGAGCAAAACAGCCCTGGGCAGCCTCTGTCGTTAACCAAATGAATTGGTAATAAATCACTGCTTGCATTAAGCTAATGGAAGTGTTGTGATAGCAGCGACAATCCGAGGAGTCAGCCAAGGGAAGGCTTCTGGATCTGAGCGTTGTTTATTAGCTTGGCCTAGCTGCAAAAAGTAGATGCGCTTGCAAGCACGCATGGCCGAAGTTAAGACGATAATACCTTGCTCTCTGGCCTTACCCAGGCTTCGGCGAGGTTGTTTGCGCTAGCGCAAGCTGCTGCTTACCGCTGGGGGTGGGAGGGCAAAGAGGTGCTTCTGCAGTTATCTGTTTCTGGCTGAACGCCTCTCTGAAATCCTGCGAGGGATTTCAGCCAGCCTGCAGCGTCAGCAGGGAAGTCTGGCATCCCGGCTCCGAGGCGGTCATGAGCTTGACGCGAAATGGAGATCTTAATGGGGAACTGTAACTCGAATCCCGTCTGACCTTTGATAATACCCACAGGCCAGCGGCTCCCTCCAGCTCTGGCGCGTGCTGCTGCTGTTTCAGGGTGAAATTGTGCCAAAGCCGGTGCTGAGCGAGCATCGAGCGCAGCAGGGAGGCGGCTCGAGCCAAGGGGTGGATGCGGCAGGAGCACCGCCCGCAGGGGTGAGCGGGGGCGCGAAAAGTGGGAGGGGCGGCCGCCCCCGTCCGCAGGGATCAGCGGGGCCGGCCGGGGAGCCTGGATCGCTGCTGGGAGCCGCCTTGCGCAGCGTCTGCTCTCAGGGTGTCGGGTGCTGCCCGCAGGGGAGCAAACGGGTGTCTCCTGTGTGCGTGCGTCAAGCCCAGATCCCTTTAAAAATATTTTGGCTGCTGCTGCTGTGGCACGAGGCTTTGTTTTGGGTGCAGCCTGGGGATGATGATCGCATAAACGCATTCAGCTGCAGCATCAGGAAGTTTTGAGGGTTTTTCTGCCTTTGTCCGCAGCGGCGTGGCATCATTTTGGGGTAAGACAAGCGCGAGTGCTTTCAACAGTGCTGCCGGGCCACTCCTGCACCCTGGGCCCTCGCGTTGTGCAGAGGCTTTAATAATCCATGAGTAATTGTATAAACATACAGACCAGCAATAATGAATGAGGCTAGCAACATGTTTTCTCCAGTTACCCGGTGTGTCAGGAAATCGTGGGCATTTGTGTACAGCTGCCCTGCTCCCCGTGGCCTTCTGTTCTGTAATTTTGCGTGAGCTGAAGTGTTGTTTGTTTGCTTCTTTTCAGCAACGGCCCTGAAGATGAACATGAACCTGCGCGAGCTGTACCTGGCCGATAACAAACTGAACGGGCTGCAGGACTCTGCTCAGCTCGGCAACCTGCTGAAATTCAACTGCTACATACAGATATTAGATCTGCGGAACAACCATATCCTGGACTCAGGTGAGGCAGGTTCCCTGTTCTTTCTGCTTCTCCGGAGGTGCCTGTGAGATCGAATTGCATGCAAGTGCTCTTGGAGGAGGAAAAACTCCTGGGTCACAGCCTGGGTTAAGAAGAGACCAAAATCTTCATTCCGTTTCCATCTGGGAAGAGCTGTTTCACCGAACCAAGCTAGTGTTGGAACGGCTCAAGCAGTGTCAACTCTTCGATCTAGCTACCAAAATAATAGTGAAGGGAGATGCGGAGGTAGAATGTCCCTTGAGCAAAGAGAGCACCTGATACTGCTATTAACGCGGACATAAGGGTACTGACAGCCCTCGCTTGTGATGAGAGCAGCAGACAGACAGGAAAGGTCCTGTCTGCAGGGTCAGGCCTCTGCCCTGTAAGTGCCATCTCCTTCTGGCAGGTCACTGGTTCCCTGCAATTTTGAACCAGATTTGAGGCTGGGAAGAGTGAGTGGAGGTGGAAGGGAACCGGCTGGCTGGAGCACTTGCGCAGCTCTTCTGCGGCGCAGCGCTGCACTGGGTGGCAGGCCAATGGCACGGCCTCCGGTGCGAGGGCAGCTCCCAAAAAAAAGGAGCTGAAATGAGAGGGGTACGTAGAGCAGCTTAAGCATTTTGGAAGGATTTTAGCAACATGAGCTGGGTAAACCTCTTGGGTTTTAGGCACTTAAGCTGCTTAGGCCTTATTAAGAGAAACTTGGATCTCTTGCTGGCCCAGGTCATGAGGTATGACCTGGCTCGTCATCATGAGGCTCATCACCACTCCTGAAGGCAGAGAGGTAGAGTCACTTCATGCCTCTGATTTGGGTCTTTTGGATACATCTGTCTCCTCGAAATAGCTTTGGTCTTGTTTTTCTTCTCTCCTTCCCGCTCTTTGGAGGCAAATGGGAGGCCAAACCTAATATCAAAACAGGAATTGCGAAACCATCCCACTCCAAGACTTCATTCAGTCGTGGCTAATTCTAGGTGTGTGGGTCTCCAGTCGGAGGAGTTGGTGATGTGATTACCCCCGCTTAATGCCTCGCTTTGGTCGGATGAGTGACACTTGGCTCTGCTCGGACCATACTGACTGCGTTTGCGTTGGGTATAAAGGCAGTCGAGGGTGACTGCATCGGATGTAGCTGGCGCTGTTGTGGACTCCCACGTTCCCGGATGGGTCCCACCCTAAGGTGCATGTGTGCATTCGTTGCCTTCCAGGTTAGCTGGCATGTCTCTCGCACCTTTGGGTACTTAATAATAATGAGTTTCCACTTTGAACAGCACTGGGCTCTATGTGTCTAAAGTCACTTGCTAGGCGTTGCTGTGGGATTTTTGCAGTATCGTTCACGCCAGAGTGTGTGCTTATCGAATAAGTGTGTTTACAGCAATTTAAATGGCACCTGCCCTCAACCCATTGTTAAATAAGCAGAACTGGACCAGTAAGTCTGTCTTGGTGCTTGAAGGATTGAGGATTGTCCCTTTTACCACCTCGTCCTCCAGTTCTTGCATCTCCTTGATGGGGTAAGGGGAAATTCAAGCCCTCCTGGTTCATCCACTTCACAGGGTTTCGTAAAGACAGCGCCATGCTCGGCTCCATCCTATGTTGCTTCTAGATGTTCGGAGCTCTGTAGGAATCGGTTCTCTTCCTGGTTGTCTTTCCACAGCCTCGCACAGAAGGAGCTAAACTTCCCTGCTGAATTTAGTAAGGGGACAGGGAAAAAAGGAAGAGCCTTGCATCAAGTCTACAGGACTGCAACACCAAGTGCAGTTTGTGCTTGGAGTTGTTCGCTCCTGCCAAACGCTCCTGGAACAGGTGGCAGCTCTGGTATCAGTTTAACTCGACCATCCGCCTGCAAACAGCTCAACAACTGCATGCGTCTTGTGAAGGAGGGGAGTCCATGTGGGACAGTTCCTCAAACAGAGAAGTACTCGCCATATGTGAAACATCTGCGAATTATCTGTTGTTACCCTGCATCCTCCCACCAGCCCGGCCACTGGGGACCTGAGATTCGAAGGAAGGGACTGAGCTGCTGAGCTCGGCCCTCCTTATTCCCCTGGGCAGGAGAAGGAGAGGGCACATGGGACGGCAGTGTCACCGAGAGGACACCGCTGACCTAAGGAGTCTGGTGTCCCTGCTCATCTGACTCCGTCCTGGGGTTGCCAGATTTTGTGCGTGTGTGTGTATTTTCAAGGCTCCAACCTGCCCCTAATTAATTTTATCCACTGAGAAGTTAATTGCATGCCTGTGTGTTTGCACACGCAGGAGCAATGTGTTTTGCCTGGATCTAAGGGTTAAGCGCCGTGTTAGCAAACTCAAATAACTTAGCAGGTTTGGAGGGAAGGTGTTGAGAGACGTCTGCGGACTGCTGCCAGGGTGAAATACCTTTCGGGGGGATGTGGAGGAGCGCAGCTCCACCTGTGCTTACGTCCCGCTTTGAAACGCAGATGGTTTAAAGGATGTTTTCGCTTCTGGGTGTCTCGAACAGAGTGACGTGATCTTTTGCATGGCTGAAGGGTCTGATCCGCACATAACAATGCGGTGACTTTTGCAGGAGCTGCTTTGCTATTTGAACGAATGCTATATTTGTGCTCTTTTAATCCCGCAGAGTGCACAAAGGTTGCTGCCAGCACAGACGATGCCTGATCAAAAGGCCAGATTAGCTACGGCAAGAAAAGTGCTGTTAAAACCTTTAATATCTGCGCTGGCATCAAGCTGTGCTGGCAGCGTGGCCGATGTAGGGCTGACCTGGAAAACGAGGAATCCACGCTGCCTGCTGTTGTTTTACAGGCTTGGCTTACATCTGCGAAGGGTTGAAGGAGCAGCGGAAAGGGCTGGTCACTCTGGTTTTGTGGAATAACCAGCTGACTCACACCGGCATGGCTTATCTGGGCATGACGCTGGTGAGTAGATCTTGGCACGAGGGGGCTTCCTGGGGGCACTGGGGTGTTCGCGTCCAGCCGAAGCAAGGACTCAGGGCCGTGAGGATGGGCAGGGCTGGACGGTCGCGTTGGCTTTTGCAGAGACGCGTCTCCCAAGCCCTGGAGCGAGGCGCCGAGGGGAGAGCACCCCCAGAGCCCCGGTGGCCTGATGAGCCCCGGCGCTGCGTGAGCCGCGTATCCGTTGCCTCGAAAGGAGAAATTCCTCCTTCCTCTTCGAGGGTTTCAGCAAACGGAGTCAGAAGAGAGGGCAGATGAAGGCTGCTCGCGGTCTCTCCTCCCTTGACTCTTTGCCCTGGCCCTGTTGGCCCGTTCCTTCCAGCAGCAGATCTGACCTCTCTTGTCCTCGGCCTACATCCGTTTTCACCTTCTCTCTTGTCTATTCTGACGTTTCCTCTGCCTTCTCTTTTCCTTTTCCATGCTTCCCTTGTATCTACCCTGCCCTCCCTCTGCCACAGCGTGTGCTGCTCTACTCATCCCCTGACTCAAAGGTTTGGCTCCTCGCTGAGTAGAGGAACAGGCCCTGACTTCCACCTACTCAGCTTTGAGGCGGACGCGTCTTTACATCTCTGACTCCTGCTTTTTTCCTGTTTTTTCTCTGCAGCCTCACACGCAGAGCCTGGAGACCTTGAACCTCGGTCACAACCCCATCGGGAACGAGGGTGTCCGCAACCTGAAGAATGGGCTCATCGGGAACCGCTCGGTCCTTCGCCTGGGCTTGGCATCGACCAAGCTGACGTGCGAAGGTGGGTGGAGGCACTTCCTCGGAGAGCAGCACCGGCCGGCTGCGGCATGTCCAGCTTCAGGCGCTGCAGCCACTGCGTACGGAGAGCTCTTTCCCCCACCACCAAAGCGGTTTTTTTTACTGGTGGCAGTGCCCCTGCCAAGCCTCCCGTGTTTACAGCGGAGCAGCATGTGAGATTGGGCTGCTTTGGCGCTTGAAATGCAGCGGGTAGCTTGGCCTGTCTCCTCAGCGCCCTTGGCCATACAGCTGTGTGGGTTTTCCTTCTGGATGGCGTATCCTGCCTGTGCTGTAACAGCTCTATCCAGGGCCCATAACTAATAAAAACACTGCAGTTGAGCTGTCCGAGGACGCCTGTTCCCATGGGGTGTTGCAGCAGGATTGGTGCCTGTGAGTGTTTTCAGCACTCTCCGCCCATAAACAGCCCCACAGAATTAAAAGCGTAGTTTTTATGGAAGTGCCTGGGAGCTGGAGTTTGGTAGTTATTGACGTACACTAGGCATATGTTGTCCTGTCTCAAAAATGCTTTTTCTGAAGTCCGGTGGAAATGCCCCTGAAAAGCGTCTCGTGGGAAAGCCGCGAGGAAGCAGTGCTGTCACTGCTTTTTCGCCGTCATCGCGGCTCTTCAGCAGAGGCTCTTTCTCCCCTCGCAGGTGCCGTGGCAGTGGCAGAGTTCATCGCGGAGAGCCCGCGGCTCCTTCGCCTGGACCTGCGAGAGAACGAGATCAAAACGGGGGGCCTCATGGCGCTCTCCCTGGCTCTGAAGGTCAACCACTCGCTGCTCAGGCTCGACTTGGACAGGGAGCCCAAGAAAGAGTCTGTGAGTTGCACAGCGCTCTGTGTGCACGGAAGCGCCCTTGCTGAGCTCTGCTCTGTGCCCTCTCTGTGTCCCTCCTTCCACGTGGTCTCCTTTAACCTCCAGCAGGAAAATGCCTCGGCCGGTTGTCCTTAAGGGCAGTGTGTCTAGGCAGGCAGCGTCGCACTATCACTCCCTGCGTGCCCTACAGCTTAAAAACTAACTTGTTTTTGCCTCCACCAGCTGCAGATCTGATTTACTTTTGTTCCGCTCTCCCTTCTTTCTCATTTTCACCTGAAGTGAATTCCTGCCCAGCTTATCTGCCTGTGTTCTTGTGCTAACATTGGCCTTTGAGATAATGGCTGCTCCCCTCCCACCCTTGATTTGGGTGCTGAACGCACCCAGTGACCCTGCAGTTCGTGTCTCAAATAACACAGCTTAGAACGGGTTTCTCGAGGTCTCTGGTTCAACCCCCTGCTCGAAGCTGGACCAGCTTAGGTTGCTCAGGGTCTTGCGCCGTCACTTGTCGGATGTCCCCGAGGACGGGGATCCCACAGCCTCTGAGACACGAGCAGTGATAGCTTTGGGAGGAAATTCTTGGGGAAACACCGGTCGCACCTTACAGAGGTGGAGGTGGGGAGGGAAAAAAAAACCCACTTAAGGTATTGACACAGTCACAGGCTTGGAAAACTTCACAGTCTAAGGTGCAAGTGAATGAGTTTCTCTGGTTTTAATTCTGTAGACTTGCTGAGAATAGTTGGGTGGGATGTTAAAATTGCAATGGGTTTTTTGGAAGGTGCCAGGAGTTCTCATTCAAGAGTTAGTTTTCTTGCTTTTTCCTTGTCTCATTTTTACTACAAGTGTTTGGAAAGCTTGTGGCTGGCCGGAAAACTAATCGTGGAGCTGATTATTCATAAATCAGTGGTCTTGAAACGCAGCAACATGTATTCAGCTCTTGTCTTTCAAATTACTTATGGCTTTTTTGTTTGTTTATTTGCTTTTCTTTGCAGGTAAAGAGTTTTATTGAAACGCAGAAGGCTCTGCTGGCGGAAATTCAGAACGGCTGCAAGCGCAACTTCATTCTGGCCAAAGAGAAAGAAGAAAAGGAGCAGAAACTGCAGCAGTCAGCTTCGATGCCGGAGATCACCGTGACGGAGCCTCTGGAGGAGGCACCTGTGGAGAACAGCCAAGACGACAGCACAGCATCCACCCCTGAAGAGGGAGAAGAAGTCGAGGAGACCCCGGTGTCCAAGGAGAACGGGGACACGGAGCAGGCAGCGGACGACGACAGAGATGGTGTGACCTACTCCGATTCGGATACGGATGAGGAGACGGACACTGGGTTAGAGACAAAGGACTTCAGCGGATTGCAGAAACAAAATGACTCTGATCACGTCGCTGGTGTGCCCCAGCCGCTGCTTTCCTCCGAAAAGGCAAGGGACAGGCCTCCCCCCTTACACGTTGCAGAGGAGTCGCAGCACGATCCCAAAGGAGGGGGGAGCTTGGGGAATCACGCCGGCTCTCCGACCTGTACTTCCTCCCAGGGAAACGAGAGAAGGATTTCTGTTTCCAGTCCTGGCCGAGGCCATAAGATCTTTGTGGTGACGCGGGTGGAAAGCCTGCCGGAGCGAACGCCGGAGAACACTACATGCCTGCGGGAGACCACGGATGCCGTGCGAGGCGATGCGGTGAAACCAACTGAGCCGCAAACCCAGCTTCCAGCCCCCAAAACCGAACTCTCGGACTCGCGGGCAAACGGGACGGTTTCCGAGTTAGCTGCCAACTTGGAAAACCCTCCGGTAGCGCAGAGCGCCGGCTCGAACCCCGAGCGGAGTAACTCTGCGCCCTGCGAGAATGTGATCCATGACACTCCACTCCCCAACGGGCTGAAGACGGATTTTGCGCGAGCACTGCCGGACGCGTCCTCGGACGGCGACGGGAAAATTGGGAGCTGTGCCGTGGAGCACGGTAAGAGCTCTGTCCCCCAGCACCTAGCTCTAAGGGGACGTTCTCTGAGCCCTGCTCTGGTACGTTATTCCCTGAATACCTGCAAAGCAACGTTGCAGAGCCCTGGGTGAGCGCAGGGCTGTTCCCTGTGCTGGTTGCTTTTCAGTGCTTTAAACCATCTGCTTGGTGCCCCCGATGGGATATCCGTACATGCAGTAATTTGTTGCTGGGGGGCTTTTCCTGTGGTGGCTTGTAACCTGAAGTGACTCCCTCTCCTCTTAGCGGTAGTCGATGGTTCCCGTTTTGAAGGCCACGAGTGCTGTCTATTTAATTAGACCTCTAAACAAGCCACAGAGCCTCCCATAATGATACCTGCAGGGATGCTCTTTATGGAGAGCCTGCAGAGCCCGGGTGAGGGCTTGGCTGGCTGGGCGCATTCATTAGGAGAACGCAGCCTTCTTGGGAGGCCAGGCAGTGCCTCTCCGTCTAACGCAGCCTGTTCCCGAGGTGGGAGAAAAAATTGCTCCAGGGACCCGTTTCCTCTTCTCTGAGAAAGCTGACCTCAGCCGCAGGATCTGCTGACAGCTCCAAAGCAGCGAGCTCGTGACTTGGAGCACATCTGATAAAACAAGCCTCCGCTCCCAAGGTCAAGATCGAAGGGTTTTAGCAGAACGTACCACCGTTGTTGTCTCTTGTTACGGTAGGAGGGAGCTGCCCGTCGGCGGCAGTGCAGCACTGAAGGAGCCGCAGGGCTTTCCGGCCCTTTCCCTGCAATCACCAACCAAGGTGTTACACAATTCCTTATCAGGCTCAGTCTTAAAACTAGCCCCGTGTTTGTTTTCTGCACCCCATATTCCTGGCTGGAAGCAGACTCTTCCAGAAAGTAAGCCGTTTCTCTAATTTGCAGCCCAAATTGTAGTGAGCAACCGTATTTTGCAATAACCTTTGCGTTTAGCTTGAGAGCTCCAGGGTCTCTGTAAACTAAGGCAGTAGCTGAGGGGAATGCAAATCCCCGGCCTTCTGGGGCTTTTGATGAAAACTAAGAAAACTGTTGCCATTTACTTCCGCTTTCAGAGCTGAACTGCTCCAAGAACGAGAAGGAACTGGAGGAACTGCTCCTAGAAGCCAGCCAGGACACGGGGCAGGAGCCACTGTGACGGCAGGTAAGAAGGATTTAGGGGTTGGAATGAGCCCCGTTAATAGGGGACGGACTCAACCCTGAAGGAAACGAGTTTCCTGGAGCTGTTAGCGAGGCTGTTAGCTCAGGCACGGGGCTGCGCTCACGCAACCCCGCAGGTAGCTCAGGCTTCGTTACACCTCTCAATAGCTGGAGCTTCACCCAGACGTGGCTGAAGTCTGGGCAGGGCAGATGTGATCGCGCTGCTCTGACCTGTTCCTGGTCCTCGTCTGGGCTCCGCAACAGAGAGCGCTCCAGGCTGTTGGAACAAAAAGGTGCTTACAGCCTCGGACGCGGGAGCATCTGCGACTTCAGCATAAAATCTTACGCTCTGGCAAGCTGAGCTATTGGCAGCGGTGCTGTTTTGGGGGATTACATCCGACCTCTGCAGAGCTGGCAGGACTAAAAAGCACTTGAACGCACTTGTCTTTAAATGTTTCAAGAGCGACAGGCCTTTAAATAACACCTGGGTACCTGCAGTCGCTCGTCGTGTGCCGTGGGCAGAGACACGTGAACCGAGGTTTACCTTAGTCACCCTGAGCAATGACGCGTGGGACTGGCAGGTTTAAATCCAGGCTTTCTTATAACTGGGAGCAGCTTTTCCTCTCCCGCGCTCGGTCCCGTGTTTTTATTGCGCCTTTCTCCTTTGTGTCTCTTGCAGATCCTCGGCGTCGTTCTGCATCCAAGCGAGGCTCTCGGGAAAGGCCTGTGTAGCTCTATTCTGTTCCCACTCCACGTGATTAAGAAACAAACCTTGGTCTTCGGTACAAAGGTTATTTTTTTCCAGAACAATCTATTTCCTGCCCTAAACTCTTCCCCATGGTCTTGACTCACCTTCCCTACCAGGAAGGACTCTGATATTCCCAGGGCGATGGAGGAAGGGAAGGAGACCAGAGAAATTGACTGAAAACGGAGACTTCCCTCCCTTTATCTGAGATGTTTCTGCCCTTCTCTAGACACTAGTTGATCCATTTGCGTTTTCTTTTCTATATTTCTCCGGAATTACCACTTGTTACTGCGGAATTTGTAAGGAGATGATACCGCACCCCGGAGACCGGGCGAATGCACGAGATTGCTCTCTTCAATCCAAATGGGAGATTAAAAACCAGCGCCTCCTGGTTCAGGCTCGGCTACGCTGCCACACACTACAAAGTGCCCCAGGTTTCCAAGGGATGCTTTGAACGAGCTGCATTTTGGGACAAAAACTCGCTAGCAGAATGGTTGCACACGATTGTATTCCCTAGAGGAGAGAGGGAGGCACGGACAAGCTGTAGTCACCTGTCGAGGAACTTATATCACTAAGCGAGATATCCAGGACAGGCTGCGTTTGCAGCCACAATGGTTATTTATTTTAAAAATCCCTTTTTTTGGTATATATTTATCATGAGCTGCAAAGTTACTGGGTGGGGATTTGACTTAAAGGACGATGTAGAATTAATTACTTTTAGTCTAACCTGCAACCTTTTCTGAACTTCCGCTCTTGGTTTGCAAAACTCTGCCCCAAAAAAGAAAAGAAAAAGAAAAAAAGCGCCCTTGAAAGAGCCTTCCCCTTGCCAAATCCCTTTTTTTGGTATATATTTATCATGAGCTGCAAAGTTACTGGGTGGGGATTTGACTTAAAGGACGATGTAGAATTAATTACTTTTAGTCTAACCTGCAACCTTTTCTGAACTTCCGCTCTTGGTTTGCAAAACTCTGCCCCAAAAAAGAAAAGAAAAAGAAAAAAAGCGCCCTTGAAAGAGCCTTCCCCTTGCCAACCCTCCG